CTCTTCTGCCCCTGCAGTCATCATTCTAGGCCACCCCAGCAGCTATTTGCAAAACCATTCCTGAAGCAGTCAGGTCATCTGGATGAAGCAGCCATAGGTCAGAGCCGCTTTGTCAGGACAGATATATGCTGCTCAGAACAGACACTGCACCTCTGTTATTAGCCCTTTCATTCATCATTCCATATAAATATCAAATTCTGAAATATAAATGTTGCCACCCTTTTGTCCTTTCCTTGCACGGTACCAGGATCTGGATGGTCCTATGTATTTATATGGGTTTGTTAGTTCAATTCCTGTTCACTGGAATTGTTTCCACTGATGAAACCTGCATAATTCTCATCTTCTTTGTTAGTGTCACAGAATCAACTAACTTAAGTTTTTTCTTAGGGGCAATATTACTAGGACAGTTTCGTAGGAATTCTGTGATGGAGAGTTTCCAGACAACAGGAACTCGCCAACAACTCCTGTCTGCACAGGCAGTTTGCATTTCACTAAGTAATAGTACAAGCAGGCAACAATTTTAAAACCAATCTATCCAGCTATTTAAATTATTATAATAGCACACTGACCGACTGTTGTTTGCAATTAGAAGTTCTGCTCTTAGGTAGAACAAGCTTACCTTTGTTCAGAAAGTGAAAGGATGAAGAATATAGGCAGCAGAACAGTAGTGTACATGACAAAAGATGTACTGTGAAGGACTCTGGCAGGGGATTGTTTTTGAGATCTTTTAGCTCTTTAACCAGCTTTTATTATTTATTTATTTAGCCAGCCTATCAAAATTTGAGGCAGAAGGTAGACAACTTTGTATCGACCCACCTGGACAAACAGGAATGGAATCCAACAATGAACAAAAACCAGTTACGAAATGGGCTGAGGCAGAGTGTTATTCAGTAAGTAAGCAACATTGGGTAAAATAATGGTAATGCTATTTGATAAGTAATATGTAATTACCTTATCTCATCACCTAAGTCAAGTAAGAATTTGCAGGATTAAGGTCTTCACGGCACTTCCTGTTGTGCTCTCCTGAGTTTCATTAGAATAGCGGATTCAGTCTTAACTTTCATTAAAATGCTTACGTTACTGCTTTACCTGAAATTTGTATTTTCGTGAGCTGAGGAGCAGCATGGTGGAGTACTCATACTTGCTATCCAGCCAAGTTATTGCTGCAAATAGGCAACACTCTGCCTGCTAGCAAAGTTGTACCTGATGTACTGAGCTGAATGACCTTGATCTTCGAAAGAGAGAAGAGCCTGCATCACTTAAAGAAAAAATGCTGAAGATGCCAAACCTTGTTTAAGTAGACACCGACCACTAGCAGGCAGTAATCACACTGCACTAGCCCGATTTTGTGCAGCAGAGGGTAGCTTTTGTACAGCTACTTAAGGTAATACATTTCCAGCATGCCAGGAAAGCCAGCTTGAACTATGCTACTTAGACATTTAGGTTAGAATGTCTCACACACAGAAGAAACTGTATTTCAGAGCACTTGATAGGACCTGCAAATCATTAGTACCTAACATTAGTTCATAATTAGAGAAGGGGGTGTCCACTGGAAGTACAGAATTTCCTGTCTTTCCTTGGAGTCCTTGAGACATTTGTCACTTAATGCTTCTTCATATTTCGTGCTATCCTACCCCTAGATTGAAGCAGACAATTGAAAAATATATCAGAGAGCCTGTAGTGAGAAGAGTGTAAGTGCTCCCCTCAAGTAGGCTGTTAGTATGAAGAACGGACATACAGTATTGGGGAGTCTGAAGAGTCCCTATGACTCCTGTAGTTGCAAGACGGGGCGCTGAGGGTGTCCAGACGTGCCTGTCCTTTGCTGCATGCACAGAGACGTGTGCTGTTACCCGGACATGACACGATGTGCCCTGACCCTGCGCCCGCTCACTCGCCAGCATTCACGGCCTTGTTAGTCTTGTGGCTCCTTTTCCGAGCGCCAGGCAACCTCTGCATTTCCTGTCCCCTGCTCCCTTGCAGACATGACTTAAGCCTGCTAGACAGCCTGTGCCCCACAATCCAAGAGTCTGACACAGCCCCTGAAGTAATAAGTCACATCAATTACTAGTATTCAGTTCCAGAAACTTTGCTGTGTGCTACATGTGCGTGTTTTTATAATTAATACCCATCTGTCTAGACTAACGGTTACAAGGAGTGAGTGACAGTAATGTTATTAGGGGGCAGGCCTGTTCTCCCTCCAGTCGGCCAAAAAAGAGACTGTGCTCTCACCTGCCCTCCTCCTCAGAATAGCTTGTTTCCCTTGTTTGTGCCAACATGTGTTTGTTTGCTTTCATGTTGACCTCATTTCCACATGAGCCCTATTAAAGTGGCTCTTGTCCAATGTATCATTTAAGTACCTGGGAGACCAGATGTCAGTTGTTAATTCTGTAGGGAGAAGTGAGAGGGGGTGGGGGGAAATAGGTGATTGAAACAACTCCCTGTTAAGGATCTACTGAGTGGGCTGCAGTTCTCACCATGTTAATGCTAATTGCAGTTGACAGGAGGGCTCTGGAGAATTGCTGGAGGAGATTGGGGAGAAGTTTTTCAGAGGAGCTGAATGACTCCTTTGTCTTTGTTCAAGGTCAGGAATGCTGGAAGCTGGAGTGGACAGAATTATTTCTCAGGTGGTGGATCCAAAACTAAACCACATCTTCAGGCCCCAGATAGAGAGGGCGATTCATGACTTTTTGGCTGCACAAAAGAAAGAGGAAAGTGTGCCAGCTCCTCCTCCAGAGCCTGAGAACAAGGATCCTCCTGCTCCATCTCAGGATGCCTCCTAAAGGTCTTGTATCTGCACTTACTACTTCACGTTTTTCATGTGCCTCATCTCTGTAGCTTGTATAATGCAAGATAGAGAAGACATTGTATTCTTCCTGGCTTGACAGGGAGGACACTTTGATCATCCGCATGTTGTCAATGTCAGACAGTCATCTGAGCTGCTTCCACTTAAGTATCTGCTAAAAATATATTAGGACTGAAGACATAGGTATGATGTAAAACAGCTATCAAGGAACACCGTGGACTCTGCCAGTGCTGGTTTTGGATCAGGCCAAAAGGCCTTTTATTCCGGTAAAAGCATATCCAGCAGTGTTGGGCGTGGAATTGGCTGGATAGCTTTCAGAACAGTATCAAATAGATTAAAAATATATATCCTTTACAGAAATACAGCTGAAAGTAGAGTGGTGACAAGTTATTGTGCTTTAGCATTGGAAGTTTTAGATAGCTCTTCTTTGGAACATACACTGGAGTGTTGAATTGTTAGTGACCGAAACATTCTCTGCTGGAGTAAGGGTAATGTCTCTGGGAGTGAATAACTGTTCATTCCAAATTGACTGGTTTAAATAGAGCAACCTATATCTTTCCAGCTGAAAGGACTGAGGGTGCCTTTGTTGCAAACAAGTTCATTCTGGCTTTTGTGATTAAAATAACTCAAGGGGCCTCACGGGGCTATAATTGCTACTCTGTCTTAACACAAATGACTATGCACCCATCTCTGCTAAGGCCCTGTATCTTAACATTGATTTGAATATTGAGGCCTGTGTGCATATTACTGAGGAACCACTATCTTGATGGGAAATTTCAATCTGCAGCTTTGCTGGGGAACTTAAAACCATACTGCATGAAAGGAAGTTAGTTGTGAATTGTCCTATCTGCTAGGGCTTTCTGAAAGCAAAAATTTTTCTTATAATCTACAGCTGATTTATTAGGAATGAATAAATAACGTAAAATAGCTGTTCTTTTGCTTGGAGTGATTAGAGCAACTAGCATGATTTTTGACTTAATAGTAGAAGTTAAAGTGCGTATAGTATCATCCTGAGTTATTTAGTTATCTGTGACTTGCTGTCTTAATGCCTTGATGGATCTTTACATTTGTCTGGTTCGAGTAGTTTAAAGTCCATTATAACCTGCAGCTCAGTGCATCTATTAATTAATATATTCTAATCTATTCTTTATTCAAATGTGTTTACTTGTGAAGGTACCATCCTCTAAACTCTCTTTTTTTTCTTGCAGTGAGTTCCTGATACTAAGCAGCTGCAGTTGCAAAATACGTGTCCTGTTAGATTGGCAATGGATTACTTGTTCCATTTGGTGCAGGATTGCTGTCTGCCAAAGATGATTAACCTTTATCAGACCTCTGAGAAGGCATTGAAATCAGTGAAATTCAGATGCACCCAGAGATCTGCGTGTGGAGGGACAGCCAAAGTGTGAAGATATTTTTGCTATAACTGCAACACAGAGAGCAGCATGTATTCTTGTTAGTCATGCCTTCAGGCAAAGGGGCAGGAAGAAAAAGGGAGTTGGCTCTTGTCTGGAGGGAGCAGGGAAGTGGTTCGAGATGATACTAGGCTTGGGAGCAGGGAGAAAAGAAAGATGTTTTGCGGTGTGGGGTAGTCTCTTGGAGACCAAATAAGAGCTGTCAGATTTTCTTTGATACAAGCCAGATGAGAGGAAGCGTCATACACCTCTGCTGCGTAACACAGCGTTGAGCAGTAGGTGCCGAGTCAGGTGTAACTCATCGCACCGCCTGCTTTAGGAGGGACATTTCCTGTTTAGAACTGGAAGGAACACTTCAGGATCAATTACGTAGATAATTTCTGTTGCATTGCAGGAAAATGTTTACAGTTGGCTATGACTATAGCTGATTTCATTATTTCCCAAGTAACTCTGGGAAGCAAAGGGCACCAGAGTCGGTGATCAGTTTGAAACTTGTCTCTTTCAACTTGAAAGACTTTTCTTTCCTGTGAAATTTCTCAGGTGCCTAGTGGAAACTGTCCTATGCTTTCAGCTTGAATGCATGCAGTGTCCTCTGGATGACAGTCAAGTAGATAATGTGATGAAATATTCTGCCAGCAAATGTCCATACCTTTTGCAATAAAAGACTTCAAAAAGCATCTCTGGCTCCTAGCTTTTTCAGAATTATCTCTTAAGGAAAAACTACGTTAAAGAAATCCAGGAGTCCCGATTGCTGGAACCCTAATGGAAGCGTGACCTTACACAGTTCATAGATTAATCCAGGTCTGATAACATGGGGTTGTTAGTAGAAGTTATCATGAAATAAGATGGATATTAGTATTCCTCTCCATACAAGGTCTTTTTCAAAAAAATCTAAAGTATCAAAGGACTGAACTGACCTTACCTCACATTGTGTATGAGCTATAAATCCTGATAAAGTTCAGTCTGGTGCTAGTGACGGTGAAGGCCTGTTCAACCTTGTGAAAACAATGCATTTCTGGCAATAGGCTAGAGCTATTTTCCTTTCATACAGCAGCCTTTTAAGAAGCTAATAACTGCCTGTGTCATTGAGTAACACTTAATAATGTTTGAATCCCTGGTATTCATGAGCTACGTACCTCACCTGTAGCCTTGTACGTGAACAGATGCGATTCCAGCTATACTCTGCTCCCTTTTCAAACTGGGTAATTTGTAGGGAAGACTGATGCTATGGTTTAAACTTTTAGCTAATTTACTTTGCTCAGTGCCTCCTCTCAACACAGTTATATGCAGAAATGGAGGTGACAGAACATCTTGTGTTTTAAACCCTTAACAAGAGCTCTGTGAACTTCACCACTCTAGTAAGTTTGCACTCTGCACAGTGCTGTATAGTCCTGCTGTTTATCCCATTTAAGAGTGTTCCTCTCAGAATGGGAACTTAAATGCCTATACTTTTTGGTGGTAACTATATTGTCTACAACCTTCCTGATATGGTTTGAAAAAAATATGTATTTTGGGATAATCTGGTTGTGTGGCTTGAGTCTCACTGTTACACAGCCTGTGTTCCTGACATAAAACAGGACAAGGGGTATGTGAGGAAAGGGTTCTCTCCTGCGTGTTAAGTTGGTGGTTAAAGACTACTCTCCAAATCAGTAATAGGTGTTTTCCCTTAGAGCCTTAAGGGCAGCTCTTGGCAGGAAAAGATGTATCTTTTACCTCCTGGTAGGGTATCTTGACCACTTTTTTGAAACTGAGCCACTTATGCAGGGGAAAAAAAAAAAAAAAGGTTAGGAGTCTAGAAAGAGAGCAAGTGAAAAGGCTTCTAACTGCTTAGACAAACTGTGGATTACAGTAGTAGTTAGGGAGCAGGGATACCAGTTCAGCTTTAAAAACTAGTGAGTAGAGTTGGGTTTATTGCAGTGAAGAGGGAACCTGAACCTGGGTTTCCTGCCTCTGACAAGCACTTTAACAGGTGGGTGAAGGAGAACAGATTCAGCCACCATAGTTTTTAAAAGGTTTTTCCATTGTTCTGTCTTGGAATGCGGTGCTGTGTTAAACTCTGCACACTAATGCTGTGCCACTGCTGTGCGTGCGTAGGGCACACCTTTAGCTGTGTCAGCCTACGTGCAGTGCATGACTGCAGCGACTATGGGAACTTCCAGATCAGAGCTGAGGCACCTAATGAGATTAGGCAGCCAATCCACGTTAGGGATCGTGGTCTTTAACGTTTGGTCTTTAAAGTCCTTGCTTGGGATCCGAGCCTTGGAAGTAACAAGCTTTGGAAGCAAACCTTACATCTAATAGGATAGTGAGAAAAACCTCCAAGGCCTTATGATGAAGAAATGGTAGGTAGTGCCTTTTGATTATACACCTTTGTCCCTGGCAACTGATAGAAATAGGATTCCAGCCTTAGTAGCTCAATGACACTACAGAAATCTTCACATCAGTTAACTTTCTCCAGCTGACCCTTCTGGCAAAAGCAGGCTTGAGAAATTAGTCTGGACACCAACCATACGGCCTAGGTTTTTGTAGCTTTTCTGCAGAGCTTGGTATCCTGTTGGGTTTATAACCTATGTATCCAAGTCCCAGCAAAATAGAAAATGCCAGTGTCCTGCACTCCAGATAATCCAGAACTCCACTGGATACCCAATTCTTAAAATTTTCTCAGACATCGAACTCAAAAACTCTTCAAAGACAAGTATAATCAGGTTCTCTCAAGTGAACCAACTAAATTTTAAAGTCTTACTAGAGAAAATAGCCCAAGAGAAACTTAATCACAAGTACTGAATGGGAGTTAAGTGATTAATAATGTGTTTATAATACATTCTTGAAGTAGAACTGATTCTCGCTATAAGTGATTAATAGGCATTTTACGATTATTATTTTTTCTGCAACTTCTCATGCAAGTGTTACATAAAATAACTGGATGCCCCTCAAGAAACTCACTGTGTAGCCGTTCTGTGACAACAACTCCAGAGATGCTTCTTTCAAATGCTCCTGGCCATCTCAACAAGACCACAGTTTCACCTGAGCCTGGATTTTGGACACATGCATTCTTCGAGCCATTTTGCAACTGCAGAGAAGGTCTTGAGCAGGTTATTTGGTTCAAGCTCAATACCATGGCATTGATCTAACATAATCAGTTCAAGAGATACCTCACTATCAGGTAGTAATGCTGCTAAGTAACAGAAAAAGTAACTCGCTGAACAAAGACTGGAGCCCAACCAGTTCTCTGCCCTCATCAGCTATTTTACTGATTAGAATCCAGTCCATTGGCAAGTCAGATACTAGCTCAAGCAGAGCTCATCAAAAAATGCAGAAGCAAAACTGCCATTACATTATTTAGCCTCTGCCTAAACCAACCAGTATTTTCCAGTGACATTTGTAACCACGTCCCATCCTAGAGTTAGCACCATGTCTCTGTCTGATAGAGCTGAACCCAACCCAGGTCTCCAGATTAATCCCTGAGTAACTGCAAGCAGGTTTGTTAGATCAGACCCCTGTAACCAAATGTCTAAATCCAAGCATATCTGGTGAAGGGAGGACAGCCAGGTGGAAAAGAGTAATATGTCAGTAGATCTCTCATCTTTGGTTCCTTCACCCATTGGTACTCACACCATGGTAATGCAGTTTCAAGTTTAAGATTCATTACAGAATTCAGAACCAGACCAGTTTTGAATCTTGATACCAGATGAACAAGACACCCAGATTCCCAGCCAGAATCACCATAGGGGTCTTGAACCCAAACCACATCCAGGTCTACTTCCTCTCCTGTTTTTAGGACAAGCATGACGGGTTTTAATGAGGCACAGCCAGTATCATAGAATCATAGAATAGTTTGGGTGCCTGGAAGACAGAGTTTCCAATATATCATTTTGATTTCAGCCAGAAGGGGTTAGAAATCATACCTGGAACATTTAATGGAGCATTTTACTCTTTTCACCACATCGATAGCAAGAGCAGCACCCACTGTCACAATGCTGCTCGTATGCCACCTGCTTCAAGAACACCACTGCGCTGGGACTGTGGGCATCACTGGGTACCATCCAAATTTTCTAATAGCACTTTCTTTTTCAGCATACAGGGTATAGCTGCAATCCCTGCTCAGCAAGATCCTGTTCCCCAACTTCTTGCTAAACTGGAGACCGGTTTCTCCACTTCCCAGTTCAAACTCACAAGGGACCAGAGCAGTTTAACTCTTTCACAGATACTTTCCCTTTTACATTGTAGTGAAAAATATATTTTACCAGCTTCCTTAAAGAGAGGTCAGCTTAACTCCTCACGAGCAGTCAGGGCCCCTCATATCCACAACCACCAAAACTTACAAGTGCAGGGACTCCCTGCTCCCATTCCTCCTTACCAAAAAACTTGTGTAGCGTAGCCGTTCTGAATCTGTCCATAAGAGGGAGATAAACTATTGCTTCATTTCTCAGTCTTGATGCTTCTTTACAAGACCTGAGCAGATACAGGACTGCAAAGCTTTTGCTGACTCCCGAGTGAATCAGCTCAGTAAGGTGTGGAGACAGATCTCAAAGCGTTTTCATGAACTCTGACTGTACTTATCTAATGCATGCCACACAGCAGATATTGTAATTTCTCAAGAGCTTTCATAGTGGAAAACAAGTATCAATTAGGATGAGGGAGAGTTTAGGGAGAAAAGTGAACAGCCCAAATGATCAGGGATGAAAACACAGATTTAGGATGTTAAACTATACATTCTGACCTACCCAAATCTGTAGTTCACTGATCTAGTCCAGTGTGAACAAGGTTGAGGCTAACACACTACCAGTAGTGCCTAAGGCCCCAGATGGTAGTGCTATGAGATTGTATCAGAACCATAGCTTCAGTTCTTGCATTTTTGTGATTCAAGTGCTGAGCCCACAGCAGTGCCAAGTCAGCCTTCGAAACATGACTGGGCGGTAACCAGCT